AGTATTTAATTACTCCTTCATTCCTAAAATAGATAAGTCTGTTACTATTACGGTTTGTTGTTAATTTTTATTTATTTGAATATTTTCATTGATAAAGCAACGCCCCAAAACATACACTGGAATTATTTATGAATAATTATTTGATCATTCAAATTTACTTTGATTAAAATAAATTATTGTTGAGCTTTGGGCCGATATGAAATATGTATTGATATCCAATAAACATAATTGGGATAAATCTCATAGAGATAAATCCTACATGATTGACTTATTGTGTGACCTTGATTGGGAACCAGAGTACAGACCCAAATCAAGGATAAATGAAAAAATTGTCGTGATATGAAATTTGAAATGAATTCTTGAAATAAACCATGAGAATAAATTAAATGTGAGAACCTTTTATGATAAAGGTCAATTAAACCAATTTTGACTCTGTCAAAGTCAACCACCAAAAAATATGATGTCGGAAAACGTATTACAAATAATTATGAAAATTATATCGTTGGATAGAGTTTAACTGTACGATCGCAACGATGCAAACAGATTTCAATTTGGAGAAAGTTAGATCAAAAAGTGTACCCCAACTGGGACCAAATTAGTCTCAATCAGGGACTTGTGTTTACAGCTCGTAGAAATCGCCGCTCCCTCCACTGAGACGCCAAAACAGTAGCAGAGGGAGTCATCAACCGTGTCATCTTCCTCTTCACTGAGCTATATAAGGACCACCTCTTCCGACCCAATTCTTTACCATTTCTTCTCAAATTTCTTTTTGAGTATGGAGAACGCAGTGGTGCTGTCATTTTGGTGTAAAGACGCCGGAGCTAAGAGTAATCCTCGCTGGAAGTTTCGCCGTAAAATCTTCAAAACATCCATTAAGCTTCGAGGTAAGCCCGTTGTTGGGTTCAGGAACCCGGGGGCCTAAGAGACTAGGCGGAAGAGTATCGAACCGAGTCCAGGGTGCAACCAAATGGGAATCAAGTAAAGTTGTGAGTATTATTCTGCTAGTCAGAACGTAATTCCCCCTTCCTCCATAAGGGGTTTATATGCGAATTACAACAGAGGGTTCCCGACCGTTGGTCTGGAGTCCAACGGTTCGGGCCCACTGAGACTGGACTGTCCACTGGCGGCGCCTAACCATATCATTACCCCTAGGGCTGCTATACAAATTAGGTTACAAATATGGTGGCTAGAACAACTCTACCAGAGGTACGGTAGGGGTCCAATCGTGGACCCCTTGATCTTGACTACTTAGGCAGCTCCCATGTCTAGGTCTGGTCTGCTGGCGCCTCGGGTCGAGGCCGAGTACGCTTGATCTGTTCCCTGAAGTCCTTTGACGGAAGGCCAGTCGAGGTGGGGCCGAGGATGATCGATTCTACCGAGGCCGAGTGTGACCTGATGCGGATGTGACCTTCCTAGGTCTTTAGATTTCTCTTGCCTTTGCCCAGCTAGATGGGCCTTGGCCTGGTTAGGCTGGGCCACTTTCTTATTGGGCCGGATACCCTCCTTCATGGGTATCCATCACCCGTAGATATATCTAGTGACTAGAATGTTTGTATAGATCGCTTCTACGTTCATAAACAGTTGTCTAGTTGAGTTTTGTGTTTGACATGCTTGAAAAACTAAGAATCATAAACCTTGAATTTGATGTTAAAACTATGAATTAATGATACCAAAATGATATATGAACCTTGGAGAACATTTCTATATAGTTTAATTGAAGTTTGGAAACTAAAAACGGAATTTTCGAAATTGGAGTTGCGAGGTAGAAGACGATGAACAGTGGCTGAAAACACACAGGGAGGATCGATCATACCTCCTGATCGATCCTCCAATATGGATCGATCCCCCGACCTGTCTGCTCTGGAAATACTTCTGAAAATGTTATTTTTGAGCCCAAAAATCCTATTTTTGATACCAATCAATTATGATTAATATAAAGATGATTTCTTGTTATAAAAATGATGTTTTTACAATTAAAAAGACCTTACGTGATGCATTACGATAAGCTAAGGTGTTAACACTCGAAACTAGACCGCTAATTGCTATTGCTTTGGATGTTATGTTGATTGATGATTATTATGGATGATTATGATCGATGAACTTACTGATTAAAATGATTATTGTGAATGATTGAATCATGATAAAAAAATAGACCTCAAATGAGAATGGGTCGTGCGGGTATAAATATGTATATTCGGTGGTTTTGGGTAAAAACGTACGTACAAGGTCCATAAACCAAACTTGAGGATTACTCGTTTAGGGATTGTACCTTAAGCGAAGGCTAGTTTAAGAGTTAATAAATCGGTCAGAAAATATGTATCTTAAACTAATGACCTAGCTTAAGAGTTGATTAGGAGTACCTTAAACTAGAATTAGTTTAAGAGTTGGCTAGAAGTACCTTAAACTAGAACTAGTTTAAGAGTTGGTAAAACGTTAAAGAGATTGGCCTTAACTAAGCATAGTTTGAGGATATTGTTGATTGTTGAATATGAATGTTGAATGTTGAATATTGGATACTAATTATTGAATATTTGGACTGAACATTATGTGCATGATATCAAATGATTTGATTATGAATTTAGATTCAGTTTATATGGATGTTCGATGCATTAGATATATGCTTACTCAGCTTCAACGTTGAGCGTGTAGTATGTTTTATTTGCTACACGTAGGTTAATAGAATAATGTGACGTGATCCTAGAGGCAGACGAAGGCAAGATAGTCGGAATGGATGTGATGATTTTGAATTAAAGAACGTAAATAAATTATGTTTATGATTGTGATTTGTTAAGCTTCCGCAATATTGAAAACTTCATACTGATTATGTTATGAAAAATATTATTGTGATAAATAAAAGTGTTGAAATGTTTTAAATTTTTACGATTACCAAGTTAATACTTTAGTCAGAAAGGTGCTGCAGACCTGGACAGATTAGGGTGTACAGATAAATTGATAAAATAAAGAGTAAATTCCATAAAAAGTCTCCAGTTATAGGTCGTTTTACATATTTAGTCCCTATCAAATATTACTAATTTAGTCCTCAATTATTATATTCATTTCCTCGAATGGTCCTTTGTTAACATTTCCGTTAAGAATGTGGATAAAATTGTAAATTCACACTCCTCAATTAAGCTTCCCCTTCTCTCGTACTCTTTCCCAAACTCGTCGCTGAGTTTGAAGCTCTAAACCCAAAACTAAAATGATCATTTTCCTCTCAATTATTAGTCTTCTTGGTGAAACCTAAATTCAAAACCAATAAGCTTTACAACAACAACAACAACAACAACCCAGTTAAATCCCACAAGAGTAGGGTCTGGGGAGGGTGTGTGTACGCAGACCTTGCCCCTACTCGAAAGTAGAGAGGCTGTTTCCAAAGAGACCCCCGGCTCAACGTCGAAAGTTGCATTGCTTGACTAACTGCTACTTCATTAATTAAAGAAGCGCAAATAGTTTAGATATCCATTTTGATTTATTCCATCACACCCCAAAGCCAAAAACCAATAAGCTTTATGGATGAGTTTTATCAGTTAGTCTCAAGAAATTGCAAAGAAAATAAACATTAAAACTCATCCATGAAGGTTACTAATTTCGAATTTGGGTTCCACCAGTTTGACAAACAATTGAGAGAAGAGTGATGATTTCGGTTTTAGATTCAAAGCTTCAAATTCAGCGACGGGTTTGGGAAAGGAGTGCGAGGGGAGGGAGGAAGCTTAATTAAGGAGAGAAAGGAGTGTGAATTCACAATTTTATCCACGTTTTTAACGAAAATGTTAACAAAGGACCACTCGTGAAATAAATATAATAATTGGGGACTAAATTAGTAATATTTGATATGTAGGGACTAAATATGTAATGCGACCTATAATTGGGGACCTTTTATGGAATTTACTCTAAAATAAAATATTCGTATAACCTCATGCTTTAGTAAAACTTTTGATTTACTTTTGAATGGTATAATTTATACTGTACCTTTTATTTCAATATCTATTTGTAATTAAAATAATTTTAAAAGTCATATAATTTTGCACGTTGTTCGAAGTATTTTCATCTTAGGCTATTATTTTACTCGGTATATCTTTTATCATAATTTTTTCATCTTAGGCTCTGTGCTGTGGCTGCCGACCTTCCTGATGGCCACATCACCACCTTCGGCCAACAAAGAAATTCAGGGAGAGATGGGGTGTGGGGCGGGACGTTCCCGACCATGAGAGAAAGGGGGAGAGGGAGAAGAGAAAGAAGGCGATCAACATCTTCACGGAGCTCTTGTGGCTTGTCTCGGCACCGACTGGTTGGGACTTGGGAGCCGCGGGGCCAACACTATCGTTCTAGTTTGATTTCTGTAATCTGTTTGGACATAAATTAAATTTTTTGATATTGTATAATCTTAAACAAATAAATAAAATATTATATATCAAAATCACATTTTTAAATATAATTAGTTATATTAAATTTACACTATAACTAAATATGAGTTAAACTTTTTTCATAATCTATTTTTAAAGCAAATAAAAAAAATTAAATTAGAACGAAAATTTTGAGAGAGGGGGGTGAATAGCCTCCCATACTATATGAAGACAAAAAAAAATAGCATCAAGGAATGGGGGAATCTAGAAATTAATTAATTACCATGGTCCTCTGTTGGGTTTGGCAAATCTTCGCCATCAATCATGGCCATCAATCATGGTTTTCCCTTTTTCCCCACCCATCTCTTTGGTCTTCCAGTGTTCAACTCAGGGACAAATTCGTAATTTACACCCCTCTCTTCCCACTCCTCTACACTCCATCAAAGCCTAAAAACAAGGGCACATCCAAAAACTGCAGCAAATCAGAAAGCATCCACTCTTTCTCTCTCCCCTTTCCCTTCACTGCTTTCTTTTTCCCCTTCTTCAAAATCCCATCCTCTCTCTCTCTCTCTCTCTCTCTCTAGAAGTAGGAAATCTGTCAATGGAAAATCGAATAAAAACGCAATCATCTATTATTCTTTACTGTGCTGCAGAGCAACACGAATTCATGAAGGGGGGAAGAAAATGCTCGAAATCACACATGCCCATCAAAATCAGAAAATGGCCCAGCTGGACCGAGATTTGTGGATTCAAGAAAAAGAAAAGAAAAATTGAAAATACAATGGAAACAGCCATGGTGTTTGTCTGTCTGTCTTCAATAGAGAGAGAGAGACCTCAATTCCAAGAATGCACACAGAAAAAAGAAACGACATGTTTCCACAAATACCCTTCTCCTGCTGCAAGGAAAAAGAATCCCACCTTCATCACCACCACCACCATCATCGTCCATCTTTCTTCAACAACAACAGCAGCAATCAATGTATTAAAATTAATAATCCTATATTGTCACACCCGAAATACGTGGGCTTTTTGGGCTTTGTTTGTCTTGGTCAGAGTTTTCTCTTTCATAGAGAAAACAGGAAAGCTCTAAAGAACCTTCCCAACCCCCCCATCCACCCTAGTCCTCACTCGCCACCACCCCCCCTTCCTTATCTCCCCTATCTTTTCTTTATTTTCTCTCCTTCTACGCCTCTCCTTTCCATCTTATCTTTATTTTTCCCCCTTTCTTTCTTTCTTTCTCTCTCTATTTCTCTGATAATCTTTCTTGATTGAGTTGCGATCCGATGATGATGTCTAAGAAGATGAAAAGGGTATCCGAAGAATCATCGAGTTATGGTGGGTCTGAGGACGCCAAGACCCGGATGAAGCACCAGGCTCTCTTCCAGGACTTTCAAGAACTGGAAAAGGTTGGATTTTTTTTTGTTTTGTTTTCTTTACTCTTCGATCTATCTATGCCCAGATCTGTTCTTGATTTTGGTTTTCTCTTTCAACTTGATTCTTGATTTGGGGTTTCTTTGGATTTCGAGCTGTGTTTTATGTATTCTTCGGGGGCATGTTTGAGACATTTGGATGTCATGGTTTAAACCCAATTTCATGACTAATTTGCTGCTTTGAAATCAAAGACTCTGCCTTTTGTCCTCTTATGGTGGATTTATATGAACCATAACTGTTTTCCCCTATTCTTCATCTATGTATAGCACTTGGTATGTTTTAATTCACTGTGTTATTGAATAAACTTTGATTGACTTGTTTCTAGTAGCTGAAAATCCAAAGCATTTTTCATGAGGTCATTTTTTTGTTTTTCTTTCTCCTTGATTTTATTTCTATATAAAAAAGGATTATTTGATGCCTTGCTTTGTTCATTCAGTTTGGAAGTCTATAAAGTAACCAAGTGCTATTCAATGTTCTTAGGAAACCAATGGCTTTAGAGAGAAATTGGAGGACTTCAAAAAGCGGAAGCTGATATTACAGGCTGAAGTTCGGTATGATCTTTTATGAACTCTTCATGATATTTCATCTTTTCTTATTGGCATTTAGGAAAAAAGATATGTTGATGCAATCATGTTCATCTCTTATAGACTTTCACAAAATCTTTTTTTTAAAAGTTCTAAATGGCCCGGCCTACTGCCTAATTGGAGATTAATTAAGCTTAGACACGAGTTCAATTAAACCAATTGGAAATACCTTAACTATGGTTCTGTTTTTAATTTTTGCAGATTCTTACGAAGGAGGCGTTCATACCTTTTGCAAGTGAAGTCTATGGACAGCCCGGAAGAGAACAAGCTAGAAACACATTTGAAAACCGGGCCAAAGAGCACGAGGCCCAACAAGAAAGATACGGGCCCGTGCAAACTACCCGCACCTCGCCCAAAACCAACGCCAGGAGTAGTCACAGGGAGAAAGGAAACTACTCCTCCAAGTGCGAAGCAGCATAAATGGCAGAAAAATAGCAGTGGTGGGAAGGAACCAGTTCTTGCTGGTTCAAGTTCAGCTCCCGAGTCTATTGATTTAAACCATAACGACAGATTGTTGTACGGCGGGAACAGTGCTGGCCCTCGGGTCCCACTTTTTGATTTAAACAAGGAGAGCAGTCTCAGCTGGAAAGACGTCTCGCCTCCTTCCCGGGTCCCCTTTGACTTGAACGAGATATCGGTAAAGACCAAACGGGCTCTTAGCATTTCCCCTAACTATTGTCTTTATACGTTTGGTGTTAAAGTCATCCCACATCAACTAAATGTGAATCGATGAACCTCCTTAATAAGTACTCCCTCCATTCCATATTAACTTTCTTGATACATTGAAAAATGGACGAATGTAGACATAAATATGGAATGGCGGGAGTACATTATGAGGTAAATATCTCCTCTTTAGAGATCCTCTTATAAGGCGAGTTAGACCTAAAACACTCGTTTTCATCTGAGGAAGCCTCCTAGTACATAAAACATGTCCTGGGCTGCAACCACAAGCGTGGGCTTTTAGTTGAGTTGAATCTTTAACAGTACGACAGAGTAACAACTAACTTTTACGTTTGCATTTGTTTGTTTGTTGTTTGACAGACGGAGGAAGAACCTCAACCCAGGTGGAACTTTGAACCAGCAAGTGTAGCCGAGGAGAGCGCAAGGAGTTTGATGAGAGGTGGGGGTGGGAACGAAGAGCAGCAGGGCGGGGATTTGAGGATATCACTGTGTAGAAATGCAGCAGGGGGAGAGGGCACGTCTCGCGCGAGGAAGCCGAAAATATCATGGCAAGATCCTGTTGCCCTTAGGGTTTGATCATCTCCCTCTCCACAGGACAAAAAAAAAAGAAAAAGATGTCTTTTTTTTTCTATATATAAATAACTATATATAGCACAGTATGTTGTAGTAGTGTGTTCTTTGCTTTTTTTCTCTTCAGGAAATGATAGTTTGGAAGATATAGTTAAGTTGTATATGTATGTGTATTCATGGGGGTTTGGCATATGCAAAATCTTGATCATTGGGCAAGCACAAAATGACCCCTATCCTGTGTATATTATTAATACAGTAGCATTTTCAAATCAGCAGAATCACTTTTATAAAATACTACATGTGTTTCAATGTTAATGTCCAATTTGATTGTGCAATTAAACTAGACTAGATGAACCTTAATTATTAGTATTAAATAAAATTGCATTGCATATCAATAAAAAATGATTTAATTAGATTTACTAGTATCTTGTAAAATATTTCAAAAAATTTCTTTTTGTTTTGTTATTATGCATTGTTATATTTATTCAATTGATCAAAAGATAAAATTGGACAAACACATTATGATAGAGGAAGTACCGATTATGAGAATTCAAAAGATATTTCATTTATAGTCTAAATAAATGTACTTCTATAAAGTCGGGTCGATGATTTTAAATTTTGAATAAAAAATAATTAGAATGAAAAACAAGTAGATTAAATATTGTTTTGCAAGAATAAGTGCCAAGTTTTTATGCACTAATTTTAGTTTAATTTCAAAAAGTAAAGAAACAAGATTATTTTTAAATTAAAGACTAATTAATTACTCTTTAAAATTAATTTTTCCTTTAAAATTAATGCTATTGACATCTGGATCATTCTGCTGGCCTTTTATAAAGAAGAATTTTTTTTGTTTAAACTTCGATGTGGGAAAGGACAACAACAAACATGCAAGATTTGGTCTCATCAAGATTGCTGATCTCTCTTTCTCTCTTTGTGTGCTTGGGTAATGCATAAATTTGAACCAAACACAATTATAGTTAAAAAGTTTCAGAGAAATAAACACTGCAATCTACTAACAACACAAACAAACAAGCATTAAACCTCCAACTTTGGCTGCCAAACATGAAAATTATCATGAGATCATGATGATTTTGCTTCCCTCAACCTCACTTCCTTCAAGTGCATCTTCCCCCCCCCCCCACTGCATTTATAATCTCTTTTTCGCACTTTGCGTCCTCCTCGGCCACTTCTTCACTGGGGTTTTCATGTTTAGGGCTCTTAGGATGGGAAACTCCAATGCTGAAGTCACTGGCATTGCCTCGCGCCTCGGAAGCAGCCAGCTTGGACCTGTGTTTCTTTCCCTGGTAGCGTTCCTTCAGTGACAACTCGCTCGAGGCCATAGTTTGGCAAAGCTCGCAGCTTTACTGGATTTTGGGTTTCTTGTCGACAGCTGGCAGCTCCTCGGTAACCTCCTCCATCTCGCGCTTCGCCCCAGTGGACTCTGCTTCATCATTGGGTTTAGCCTGCAGTGGAAAATTACCCCAAAGGGTAGTAGTAGTAGTAGTCCATTGTCCTTTTCTAACACATTTTAACCTTTGGAAGTCTTAGGTAATGTACACATTGTAACCTTTGCTTGTTTCTAGGACACATTAAGGGTGAGTTTGGTTGTAGAAATAGTAGTCATTTGAAGTGTAAAATGTCTTCTGATCTGGCCAAAAAAGTGTTCTTGGAAAGGTTTCTTGAAAACAAATTGATCTGTGCAAGCATAATGTCTGTCTAAAGTCTAAACCAGAAAATTGAAAGGAATAGAATGTTCACACATGGAGAAAAAACTCAGACATTCAAATCAAGAACAACTGAAGCTGAGAATGGTGAAACAAATCAAGAAACAACTCAGTCATCAGATAAGATGTGTTAACATATTAAAGAATTGCAGAGATGAATAAGAAGACTTGAAATGGGATGATGATCAGCAGAGAGGAAGGTCGTTCTTGAAAATGGTTGATCAATGGTTACACTCTTGACCTTGTCCATTGAAGCTAATGATGATCGAGCTTTCCAGAAGAGATTCTCAGGAGAGACAAAAAAAAAAAAGTTTGCAGCTTTCTTTCTGATTGGGAAGTTTGGGTGAAGAAGAACAATAAAAAAAAATGCCCTGGTGTACGATAATCATAAAAGAAGAATGAAAAAAAGGAGAAGAAGGAGTGGAGATGGCAGGGGGGTTTGGTCATCCCAGAAGAGGAAAGGAAACAAACAGAATTCTTAGTCTGAAGAAACACATGACTGAGAGTTAGGACATGACACTGATTCTATGATCTTAAATTTATAGTATGATATTGTCCGCTCTGGGCGAAGCCCTCACGGATTTGTTTTTGGGCACCTCCAAAAGGCCTCATACTAATAGGGTTGGGTGAACCTATATATTTTGGTCCATTTTTTCTTTTCCCTCCGGTGTGGGACTTGGAGGAATCCCCAACAGATAATATATATTATACCTGATACGTAATTTATAAAATGTTTTCTTGTTGCTATAAAATTCTTTATTCCTACTATTTTAGCGCCACCTTAATTTTTTTCTTTACTTATTTTCTTTGATCTTGAATTATATATAAAAAATGTATAGTATGCACCACCTAGTGAATTAGTATAAAAAAATGTATTTACAATTAAGGTTCATTATTATATAAATTGGCCTATTGGTACATATTGGCAGTTCCGCAAAGGTAGAGTACGTTCACAAATTCATCAATCAATTAATTAATTAAGATCCTACATCTAAGCAAGAGCTCTAACTAGCTTGACCGACCATTAATTATTACATGTATATATCACACACACACATATATGTGTAATGTGTGTGTATATATAGTTAATCAATCCCCTGATTAATTACGCACTTAAGAGAAATAATTAATTAAGAACCATTTGAACATAATTACTGATCAGAGTCAGGTTAAAATCGAAATTAATCGAGACGAGCGAGGGGGAGGTGAAGATGGAGGGGTGTGAAATGTTCTTGGAGATATTGGTTGCCATATTGCTTCCTCCTTTGGGAGTTTTCTTTAGACACGGCTGTTGCAGCGTACGTATCTATAATTTGTTTTGTTTACTGATTATTGAATATCGATCGATGATCATTAATTATATATATCTTAGCTTAATTAATTATATATTGTTTGTTTGTTTGTTTGTTTGTTAATGATGATGTTTTGGTTGGTTGGTTGCAGTGTGAATTGTTGATATGCTTGATACTAACCTTATTAGGTTATGTTCCCGGAATAGTGTATGCAATCTACGCTATTGTTGTTCGCCATGGCGGCCATGAACAAGATGATGATCTTCATCAATGGCGTCGTCCTCTCAATGCATAGCTTAATTCATTCTTTTATTCTATTTTCTTTCTTATGAAATAGAATACTATTCTCCTTTAGTTTGTTGATACTATATTGAGTTGGTAAATAGGTAATTTACCTAAATAGGACTAAAACATAATAACTTTCTCAATATAGAACAATATATTTTTATTTCACAATGTAGGACCATTGATGATTATCAGTTAGTCATTATTCAACTAAATGTCCAGCATCACTTGAATATTATTCTTCTCACTAGTCATTATTAAATTTTATTTAATAAATGCAAAAGTTTAAGTCCTACATTGAGAAATAACTTATGCTTTAGTCCTATTCAATGCAAATTTTTTTACTTGGTTAAATAAATGTTGCTCATGTTTTGAGTCATGCAATGGTTTTACTTTTTAATGAAAAAAGCATTAATATCTCGAGTAAATAAATTCAGCTCTGGTTAAAATTAGATTTTCATTTACCAATTTCTCAAAACTACAAATTGAATTATAAAATCAATAGAAGATACGGATCGGAGCTGATCGAGTAGGATCCAACTTAGAATAAGTAGTTGATTTTTCTTTACGAATAACAACATCTCGAAACAATTTTTTTTAACCACAGATAAAAATTACAGAGTAATAGGGTATAATTTAACTTTTTACTTGTATTTTTAAAAGGTACCGTGTAAATGTTTTTGAAAAGTCAAAACAACAATAAAAGATGTTTCCTTATCTATTAAAAAATCAATTTTACTCCTTACTTTTTTTATTATACTCTACTTATCACATTATACATTTTTACTAATAATCTATCTATCACACCTTATAACTACTCAAAGTAAAATTTCCAACACTTCTATACTCGGTCTATTTTTTTCCTCTGAGTTACTATTACAGCCTCACGAGCTTATATTATTTGCTTCCATGTTTTTATCAATCATTTGATAAGATATACTACCTTCGTCCCAGAGTATTTGTCCACTTTCATTTTTACACACCATCCAATACACTTCTTTAATCCATTTTGTCTTGTAATTTATATATTAAAAAATTATAGAAATTATATATTAATAATGTATATGTTAAGACAAATCAAACAAGATCACACATGACTATATTTAGGCTTACACATTGAGAGAATTTGATGAGTCAAAGTGCTTAGATGAACAGTTCTAAAAGTCAAAACTGGACGAATACTCCGGGACGGAGGGAGTAATTTTCTTATCATATCTTATTTTATAGATTTTTGTATTGTTTTGAACAATGTAATTTGTACTTTGTATTTATATTCAAATTAAAAATAAAATAAAATTTAAAAAGATAAGATTTTTCACGTTATTTGAAATTGGAAGAAAAAAATGGATGAAGGGAGTACAAGTAAAAGAAAATGTGACCTATGTTCCATAATTTATTTCATTCCGAACATATTTCAACGGCAAATTTTTTTTTATCCATAGGTTCATACTTGTTTTATGAATGTTCATGCATAGAAGGATTTTATGTAATGAGCCTTGTAAAAAGTAGGATATCCAACTGTGAATCCATTAAAAATATGTTAGAAGGTCCACGTACATTTTGCATGTGGACCTTAAGACAACAATAAAAGAACTTTATATCAACCACACACGGGGGGTGTCTTTTTAGGAGTGGATTCAGTGTTTGGTGGTTTTGTTTTCTCCCAAAATTAAAAACAAAACGTAAGGTAAGTTAGCAATTAGGTTCGATTTTGTACCAAAAATATATAATCCATTGGTTATATTCAATTTGGTTTTATGCATTTTTTATTTCCTTTTTTCTATTTTTTATAAATAAAAATTTATAAGCATTGCGGATTACAAAAATATACTCCATCCGTTCTCAAAAACACTTCCTCTTTCATTTTTTCCACTTCCAACAAAACACTTCCATTTTCTATTAAAAAACCACTTTTACCCTTACTTTTTCATACCCTACCTATCACATCATACTTTTTCTCTAATAATCTATCCATCACATCTTACTTTTACCCATCACATCAGGGGCAAAATTGGAAATCAACTATAATTTAACACTTCCTTATTTTTGTCCCAAATCCAAATGAGAAGTGTTTTTCCAAACGGAGGGAGTATAATCCATTGGTAATTCAGTACGGAGTATTTGCATTATTGGTATAACACTTTTATTTCCATAATAAAATCAAAATTTTTCATTATTGTACGGAGTGATATGCAAATTACTTTTATCACTTTTTAATGTTAATTTTCTAAAATTTGCTTTTAAGAAAAGGGGATGGCTCGCATCCCAAGGTCCCAACTATAACATGAAAAGAGAAAAAAAAAACTGAAGATTTTTATCTCAGAAGAATATAATGCTGTCTTTAGTACTCCACGAAACTAAGATCCCTTATGTTCATAGTACGATTGTCCTTCTTTTAGCAAATGGTACGTACAGGCAAAGTGAATGAAATTACCCTATTCTAAATAGAAATAGAAATTCATTCTCCAAAAGGTGAAATCGCTCACCCCGGGCGCCCCTCACCCCCGACCCGACAGGAATGTGAGAGGAGGTAAATCACGGTGACCCAAGCAACAACACTTAGCTAGACCATATCCTAGTGCGCACCAGAGACCCCCCCATTTTTCAGAAAGTATATATGGTGCAATATACAGTTGAATTTGTTAGAAATTCCTCTCTCTTTGTCCCTATGACACCATGAGTTACAAACTCTATTTGGAAATATCCTTTTCGATTACCGTTAACAGTTTTCGATAAAATGCCAATCGTGCTGACTAATTAAGAAAAAAACGCTAAAAATTATATCGCCAGACAGTCTTTTCAAAACGCAAACGCTGATGCTAAGCCGGTCCAAAAAATTGATGTCGAAATTACGTGATGTGTCGTCCGCTTGGTCGACATTAAAAAAACTAGAGTCACGCTACTTGTTTCTGACAGGTTCGAACTTGTTCGGATTTTAATTAAAAATGGAATGGGGTGGGGAGTACTACATTGTGAAAACCAAAAGAGAGCTACATTTTCAAAAAGAAAAAATAACCCAAAAAGTGTAAAAAAGAAATTCATATAACTAATAATATCACCAATAATTAAAATAAAACTAACAAAAATTTATACTTTTGAAAGTCAAATTATACAAATAACAAAAAATTATACTTTATTACTCAATTTTTTCTCTTTTTTATTTATTTAAAAAATTAATTTTGTTTTTCATTTTTCTAGTTTTTATGAAAAATTTTGAAAGTCAAAATACTTTAGAGAAAATGGCTAAAGTAGGAGTAGAACAAAAAAATATAAAAAAAGTTCTACTCCAGAAGTAGGGTTACAATGAAAAAAAATATCAATCATTTAAGAAAAAATAAGTTTGATTACATTATGTAGCATGTCTGATATTTAAAATAAAATCTTCTAAAATATAAAATATAATTGAAAATATATTATTTTATGATAAATAATGCATAGCCATAATAATTTTTAAGTATTTAACGTTTTGATATTTGTGCTAATTTTATATTCTAATTAATTTTTTTCAGAAGTAGTTTTTTTGTATGAAAAATAAAAATATTTTTTTACCTTAAAGGCATTCATTAAGAATACGTGATGACACCAACAACAACAAAAACAACGATTATAATAATGATGATGATGATGATAATAATAATAATAATAATAATAGTTTTAATAATAATAATGATAATAATAATAATGATGATGATGATAATAATAATAACACACAAAAATTAGAATGAAAATAATATAAAAACACACAAAATTTAAAAGTTTTTTTTAGCTTTTCTAATTTTTTCTAGTTTTTTCGAGTTTCTTCTAGATCTTTCTAGTCGTTTGTTCCAGTTTATTCAATAGCTCTACGGGAGGCGGTAATATACTCTGGGGTATATATATATATATATATATATATATATATATATATATATATATATATAAATAGGCTCAAAAAAATGGGGGTGACCCGACCCGTAGAACATGGGCAATGATAAGTAAGAAACTAAATGGAACCCCAAACGATAACGTGATATATAGTGTATGTAACCGTGAAAATGTAGTGAGTGTTGAAATGTAACCATAACAGTGTTAACTTTTATTTTGTTACTTTTCATAATTTTTTACTCTTGTCTAGGGAGTTTTCCCACTTTCAAAATATTACTTTAAGTTATTAATATACATTATATTTTATTTAATGATAGATCAAATATTAAAAATAATTAACCGAAAAAAATCAAAACTAGACATGTCAATGACGGAGATTGTAGTACTATATGGATATTTGAAGAACCATTACAACATATTTGCAAAAGGATGGATGGATATTTGAACAACTATATTAGTACAACATATTAAAGAGAGGAACGTGGAAACAAACATTACACTCAAAGATTCCAACCATATATATAGGCATTTATACTTGGCATTCATGGCTCGGATCTATTCAGATGTCATACAATAACTTCTTGAAGAGTGGCAAATGTTCACCATCCAAACACACCGCTAAGCTCAAAGTCCGGTCCTTGTTTGGGCTTGGCAATATGTACACCGTCCCTTCGTACAGAATGGAGGCCGGTCCCATGTGGACCGGCCTTCCCCAACCGAAATCCGCCTCGTGCAGTGGCAGCCTAGTCCAGCTGTTGATGTTGAGGTTGGGGCTCGCAAAGTAGGTCGGGCCCCGCACGAGCCTAGACAGATCCTTTTGGCATTCTAGGAAGTCGAGAGCTGACCTTAGGTACTTGTCGTCCATCCTCGCCAACGTGGAGTGGATTCTCTTGGCGGAGTTCGAGAGCGGTTCGTTTTGGAGGTCGCCGGATTCCGCCATTGGCGTGGCGGTGAACACCACATTGCCTAAGTAGCCCGAAGGGAGAGGCGGGCACAGGCGGGCCCGGCCATCCGTGGCCACGTAGAGCTTCGTCGGTTGGTCGTCTGGTAGCCCACGTGCCTTGCACGCGCACCGCCACACGTGGGCCGCCAGGACCTCGTACGTGCTACCCTCGTGCTTGGACTTGGCTTTGAGAAGGGAAAGTTGGTCTGGAGTGATCTTGAGCATGGCGGTCATAGGGGCGCGTTTGGCTTCCGAGGAAGGCACGAGGAGCTTTGGAGGGAGGCTGTACTCGCTATGCAGGAATGTCGGGGTCGGCGGGTCCCGGGCACGTAGGAGAGTTCGGTCGATGAAAGGCGGGACCGCGACCGAGAGGCCCCGAGCAATGTCCGACCATGTGTTGATGAAATGGAGAGAGGAAAGGCCATCGGATAGCGTGTGGAACACCCCCGTTCCTAGACACACTCCACCGCACTTGAATCGCGTAACCTATTAGGAATCAATAACCAAAATAAATAAGAAATATTTACATTAAATAGCACTAAAACATAAGCTATTTCCAATGTAGAACTAAAACTTTTTTCCCCAAATATCATTTAATAATGTCTATAAGGAGGAATAATGTCCAGTGATGGTGAACATTTACTTGAATAATGACTAAAACTGCTACACTAGTGTTGGGGATTCCTCCAAGTCCCACACCGGAGGGAGAAGAAAAAATGGACCAAAATATATAGGTTCACCCAACCCCATTAGTTTGAAGCCTTTTGGAAAGTGCCCAAAAACAAATCCGTGAGAGCTTTGCTCAGAGCGGACAATATCATACTAATGTGGGGTTGGGGTGAGGGCACACGCAGCCCCAACATGTGGTATTGGAGCCCAGGTTCTTGCGGGCGTGAGGTGGACTGTGTAGTGTGGAAAAATCTCGGTGTGACGATGAAACAATAGGACCAAGGCCAAGAAAGAGGATCTGTAGGTGGTGCCTTGTGTCGAAAGTCTTCCCGACGAGATGAGGTCGGGCGGCGTGTCCCGTGAAGTTATAGCCACGGCGGTACAAGATGATTTGGCGGATCAAATGGTGTAGCCCAGCGAAGGAAAAGATCTGTGGTTCAAGCCTTGTATCAAAACTCTTCCCGACAGGAGGTCGGGCGGCGCGTCCCGCAAAGAGTGTGCGGCGGTGCAAGATAGTTAGCAGATAAAAGGAAAAATGGATTACCGCTGGAGGGGAGGTCGGAAATTGTGTGGTCCTTGGTTGAGGGGAGGTTTGTTGGGGATTCCTCCAAGTCCCACACCGGAGGGAGAAGAAAAATGGGCCAAAATATATAGGTTCACCTAACCCCATTAGTTTGAGGCCTTTTGGAAAGTGCCCAAACACAAATTCGTTAAAGCTTGGCTCAGAGCGGACAATATCATACTAATGCGGGGTTGGGGTGAGGGCAGGCGCAGTCCCAACAATTAGAAAATAAAAAAATATAATGCTATTTAGGAAAAGTCATTATGTTTTAGTGATATTAAGTTAAATTTCTTAATAAATAAAGGAGTAAGTCATACTCTAACATGCAATCAGCGTACTCTCTATTACTCCCTTCGGCCCTGAAAACTTTTCTCCTTTCTTTTTTCATCCGTCCCAAAAAACACTTATCATTTCTATTAAAAGTCACTTTACCCATTACTTTTTCATACCCTACCTATCACATCATACCTTTTTACTAATAATCTATTCATCAAATCATACTTTTACCTATTACATCAAAGAATATTTTTGGAAATTCAATACCAAAATATATACTCTCATTAAATCTTCTTCAAAATCAAAACTCACATGTTTTCTAGGATGGAGGGAGTAGTTTTTTTAGAGTTTGTTCTCTTCCACTTTTTCTTATTCCGAAGTAATCCTTCCGTCCCCTTAATTAAGATCTTCTCGTTTTGACTTTTTATGGTTTTTAAAAAGAGTTGAAAAAAGGTAAAATTTTACTATAATACCCTTAATGAAAATGGGTGGAGCATATTAAATGAGGTGAGTGAGTGTAATAAATAAAGTAAGTTGAGGTAGTTGTGGTATTTTAATTGTTAAAAAAAGGTAAAGAGAAGATCTATGCTGGATAAATAAAAAGGGCTTGATGGTGTAAATTACTTGACCGGTCAAACTACACTAGACCGGGTCTAGAATAGTTTGCTTGATTTGGTAGAATAAGAAAGATAAACTCGCAGATTGACCAGTAGGACTTTAGGTGGAACACCTGTAGCCCAGTTTGTATTATCACGGAGAATGCACGAGTGCTTTTACAAGAGAGTTTAGAGAGAATGAATTCCCCTCCCTCTTTCTGAGGTTTACATGAGTATTTATACTAGGCTAAGGGGGACATGACCATGTGCGCCCACGTGGGGGCACGATGCTGATGTGGTGCGAGGTGACTGGTTTCGTCCTTGAGCTGCCTTGTCGCCTTGTGAGGGGGATTATTCCCTTTGTCGAGTAGTGCCTTGGATGGATTCTTCAGCATCTCCAGTTGTCCTCTACTAACACGGGTCGCTACACGCCAAGCCCTCGTAGATTCTCTTCTGCCGACACTTTCCAACCCTAGAAACTTCACCGGGTAATCTCCGAGGAACACGTTCATCAAAGTCTGGGAATAAATGGGATGACAACGCAGTTTGACCGGTATACTTTTTCGTGAAGTATACCGGTCATCTTTTGGCCGATTACAAATCGTTTTGCTGACGATTTAAGTCTCCCTTCCAAAACTTTCGCGATTGACCGGTCAACTAATTGGTCTTCTCCTTTGACCGGTCGTGGGTGGAATACATCCATCAATAAGCCCTCCACTTCTCGGTCATGCAATTTGTCATGAGCGGGAAGTAAAAAGTCTAAAACGGGACCTCAAATTTGAATTTCAGGCTTTTTCCTGCCCGAAAATCTCAAAATTTGAAATTTGAACTCAGAGCTTTTGACACGTGTTGGACACACGTCGTTGCAACGGTCGGCGGCCCACCCGTCGTTTCGCCTGCCAGTAGGTCATCATTGCGCCGCCTGACGCGACGCAACCTGGAGAGGCCACGTCACTCCTTTCAGCCCTCCTCTTCCTATATAAAGGCCTCTACCCCTCTTCTTTGTTCACTTTCCGCGATCAAGTCTCAGAGCTTTCACCGGTCAAGTTCCTTCTCTTTCGTTATCCAGCCCTCCGAGTCAAGTAAGTTCCCCCTTCCTTCTCTTTTTTCTTTCCCGGCCATGTCTTCTTTTAGCGATAGGATCTCGTCCTCAGAGCACTGCTCCTCTGAGGACTCCAACTCATCTTCCTCGACTGGGTCTTCCTCTCCTGAATCCATGCCCGGTCAGGTTCCCAACTCCTCTATTCCCGACCCGCATCCTATTAACCAGATGCCCGGTGAAACTTTCGTGGGGAGGGATGACCCGGTCGATGACGAACCGGATCCCTATGACCCTGAACACGAAACCCGGGATGCGTGGGAGGAGCGGCTTCATGCTGCCGGTTACTTTCCGCTCCCCACCTTCTATGTCCTTGACATCCCTTCCCGTGTATCCAAAATTGCCTTAAACAAAATTCGTAGGAGGCTCCCGGATGGGTATACCCTCCTGTATGAACCTAACTGGCCCAACATTGTTGAACCCCACCGGGAGGATAGGATAGGATTCCACGCCATATCACTGGATGCGGGCATAGTTTTTCCCCTTCACACCCTCCTTACCGAAGTCTGCCATGCGTTTAGGATTTTGCCCGGTCAAATAACACCTAACGCCCACCGGTACCTCCATTCCTTTGTAAATATCTGTACTCATTTGAAAAATCTTCCCCTCTCTACGTCTTTTTCTCTTTTGCTTTGAAGTCCTACCGGGCGGATCTGGCTGCGAAGATTTCGTATTCTTCAAAGCCCGTACCGGTAGGAAGTTCATTTCCGAAGTCCCCTAGAGTAACCAGGGATGGAAGGAAAAGTTTGTTTTCATCGAGTTTCCCCCCTTCGTCACTCCTCTGGCCGGTCTGAAATGGAACGACCATCTCCTCGACCAAGAGTACGCTGCACCGGCTTCCTCCCGAGACTTGGAAGCGAATCTTGAGGTCCTTATGCGCGGGGATCCTTTCACTAGGAGGATCTTCCATTATGGCAGCTGGGTTTGGAGGGTGGAGTCGGGTGGTGAGGGTACCTCCCAGGCCCATGAAGCAACGGGGCGCGAGGTACCCTCCCCGGGCAACACTGCAGAGGCTGAGGGCCATAACCGCCCAGGTACTTTTCACTCCTTGTGATTTGCGCTTTGACCGGTACCATTTCGTGTACTTAATGATTTTTGCTAATATTCGCAGACATGGAGTTCGAAGAATTCGCCATGCCCGAAGATCAGCCAGAGGGAGAGGCCGGTGGTTCTCAGGCCGGTGCTGCGAAAACTTTCAAGGTCCAACCAGAGACCGTGGAAATCCTTGATTTGGAGGAGCCGGAGGATGACCGGTCAAAAGGGAAGGGCAAAGAGAAAACCGGCCAGCGGATAAAAAAGGTGGCCACTACACACCCTTCCTTCGCTAAGAAGAGGCAAAGAGGGGACTCAGAGCCGGCCGGCCAGTCTATTGAAGAGGCCTTCATCAATCTGGGCCTGAGGCTGAAGGAGGTAAGCCCTGTTGCTACCCCGGTCTTAATCTCCTTTTTCCCCTGACGAGAATCTTATCGGGCTATTTTTTCTTTTATGCAGGCGGGTGAGATTGGACCCCTAACAGCTGACCGGCTTGGTTTAGGCTCTCCTTCGGAGTTTGCCCGGCTGAAGAGGGAGAAGGAGGAGATGGCTCTTATCTTGAAGAGCCAAGCTGATGAGCTGACCAGGCTATCCGGGCTGACCGGGTCGATGAGGGCGGAGATCTCTCACCTCAAGGAGGAGAATGGCCGGCTGATGGACGAGGTGTTTGTAGCGAAGAGGGAGATGGGGGAGAAGGAAGAAACCTTCCCGGGCGCGCAGCTGCCTGGGTGGAAGAAAACAAAGCTGAAGCTGCTCGGGTGATGACGGCGACTCCCGAGACCACGATGGAGTCCTTCAGGCTTCTATACCGGGAGCCTGAAGGAAGGAAGATGATTACCGCGATTAGATCCTTCGGATTCAAGAGCGGTCAAAAGAAGGACCGGATCGCCTCTCACCGGGTACTGCTTAGAAGAGATCCGGACTTCACCGCTGCATCCTACGGCCTGGCCTCAATCCCGGAAGAAGAGCCAACTCCCCCCTTCCCCCTTGACTAATCTCCCCGGCTGCGCCCGGTTATTTTTTGTAAAACTTTTAGCAGAAATTTCCCCGGGTATGCCCGGCGTACTTGTAAACATTTGACATTTCCAAATTTAAATGCCATGTTTGTTTTTCTACCCGGTTAAGCATGCTTCCTAGTCGATGTTTTCACTTTTTCTCTTTAGGATGTCTTCGTAAAAACTCTGACCGGTTATACTTTCCTGTAATCGAAACAGACCGGTTGAACTCCAACTTTCACTTTTGGATGTCTTCACCTCCGCTGGTCGACTTGAAAAAGTTCGACCAGCTGAACTTTACTTTGGCTTTTGGATGCCTTCATTTTTCCAGTGAATTTTTTCGATAAAGTACAGTTTGACTGGTAGGAACGCACTCCCTGGCCTGACCGGTCATCTGCCTTGCCTTGTGGAACTTTCGAAGTTCTGCTGTGCCCATACCCGACCGGGGTATTTTTTTTTGACCGGTAGGTTGTAGATGGAAGCACCTGTAACCTAGTAACTCATGAAGTATCCTTAACCGGTAAGAATACTGGAGATTTAACCATGTCGAATGGTTTCGAACCCTCTCCAAGGTTCAAATGCACCCTTCTTCCAGGGCCCCCTCTTCCGGGTGATTAAGTCTTTTAATGGCCCTTTGATTTCTACCATCCCGGGAAGGCCTTAGCTCACCCCCCGTTCAAGTCTTCCCTGAGAAGGGGGAAACAGGATGCGCCACGGTGGACGATCCCCTTCTATTTCTTTTAATGGGCATCTTTTAGTCCCCAATCAATTTGACGGCGCCGGCTGATTCCCCGACACCAGTCAAACTTCATGGGCCCGTGTAAGTACGGTTCGAACCCTCTTCCAGGTCCAGCCCTCTTGCAGGCATACCCTCTTCCGGGCCCCTCTTCCGGGTTTTAATATTTTTTCTATTATACTGAGCAAGACCGGTGTAGTAACCAGCGTGCCAGGTCCGGGCCTGTGTCTCATTTGGCTTATCTAAGTGGATTCGATCCACCCAGGAAGCCCTCCTAAGATAGGTTCGACCTATCAATTCTGCCGCTACCACGTAGAGTATTGAACATCACTTTGATTGATAATGTAGTTAGGCCTCGCCTAGTATTACAATCATTTGTAGAACTTGCGAAGATGGTGGGAATTCCAAGTTCTTTCTATCAGTACACCATCTAAAGTTTCCAACCGGTATGTTCCTGGCCGAATGATGGCTCTAACCCTGTATGGGCTTTCCCAGTTTTTTGCTAGCTTTCCTCCGTCGCCGGGTCTACTTGCTTCTCTTCTTCGTAGGACTTCATCTCCAACTTGGAAGTACCGCGGCCCAACCTTGTTGTCATGGTACTTCTTCACAACTTGTTGGTATGTACTCATTTTAACCTCCGCGGCCATTCTCCGTTCTTCGACCAAGTTGAGCTCGGCCAAGTGGTCTTCTTCATTTTGCTGGGGATGATAATTTAATTCCCGGAACGTTGGGAATTCAGCTTCGATGGGCAGCCTTGCTTCACACCCATAGGTTAGGGAGAATGGAGTTTCCCCATGAGCCCTCCTGGGTGTTACTCGGAATGCCCACACGATATGTGGAAGCTCTTCCAGCCACTTGTTTCCTGCTTCTCCCAGCCGTTTCTTCAAACCATCTACAATAGTTCTGTTGGCGTTTTCGATTTGGCCATTTCCCTGGGGGTACGCTACCGAAGAGCGATTGTGCTTGATTCCGAAGCCCTCCAAGTATTCGGTGAATCTTGGATTTCGGAATTGCGGGCCGTTGTCGGTGATGAGGTTCATGGGCGCTCCAAATCTCGTGATGATGTTCTTCCAAATGAATTTCTTGCACTGCTGTGTGGTGATGTTGGCCAATGCCTCGGCCTTGATCCATTTGGTGAAGTAATCGATGGCTACGATTACGAACTTCTTCCCTCCTTGGGCGACTGGGAAGGCTCCAATGATATCAACCCCGAATCTAGCGAATGGGATGATGTTTGATACGGGGTGATAGTAGGTGGCCGGTCTACCAGGATACTTGTAGAATACTTGGCACGTCTTGCATTTCTGAACGTACCTTTCACAATCCTGGACAATTGTTGGCCAGTAATACCCCAACAAGATGATGCGTTGGGAAAGCGTACGGGACATTTGATGCGTCGCGCATACGCCTTCGTGTACTTCCGCTATGACTCGCTCAGCCTCCCGGTTGGTTAGAAATCTCAGGAGTGGCCCCCCAAATGCCCTTTTATATGGTTTTCCATCAAGAACCTGGAATCGGGGTGCCCTGAGTTTCACTTTTCCTTCTCGGTCATCTTGTTCTGGCAAGCTCCCATCCATCAAATATTCCATCAGATCATACATCCAATGGTCGTCCGCCCCGACCAGGTTTGACCGGTCAAATTGGCTTGCTGCTGTTATGGCGGCGACTTCCAATTTTTCGATGCTTGCACGGTCAAGGATCTCTACCCGGGCGAGTTTTGAGACATGCTCGGGAGCATACTACGTCAATTTGGAGAGAAGGCCTGCATCCGCGTTTTCCGCCCGGGGAATTTGGGCGATCTTGAACTCTTCGAAGCCTTTCAACAGGGCAAGTACAAGGTCCTTGTATTGTGCCATGCGTCCTTCCATTGCCTCCATGTTACCGGTCACTTGCCCAACGATCAGGCTAGAGTCAGATTTGATACTGACCCGGCTGATTTTCAGGGCTTGGGCAAGTCTGAGCCCTCCAGCCAGAGCTTCATATTCTGCCTCATTGTTCGTCAGTTTGAAGTTGAAGACGATTGCATGGTAGATCTTGAACCCTTCTGGGGTGGTGAACACGATACCACCCCCGTATCCTCTAGGACCAGATGCCCCATCAACTGCCATCTCCCACCATTGCTCAATGGGCTTGTCGACCGGTAGGTCTGGAGTTAGACCGGTCATTTCTACCAAGAAGTCAGCAAGGGCTTGTCCCTTGATTGCCGACCTTGGCCGGTACTCAATGTTGAATTGAGTTAACATCATCGCCCACTTCACCATCCTCCCGGAGGATGTTGAATTTCGCAACACTGCACCCAGCGGTTGGTCAGTCAAGACTTCTACCGGGTGAGCTTGGAAGTAGGATGTTAACTTTTTTACGGAGATGAAAAGCGCATAGGCTGTCTTTTCCATCGCCGTATATCTACTCTCGGCCCCGTTTAGTGCTTTGCTCACATAGTAAATGGGCTTTTGTGCCCCATCATCTCTTATTAAAACGGAGCTTACAGCATTTGGGGAAATTCCCAGGTACAGATACAGAGTTTCACCCGGTTCGGGTTTAGACAATACAATATCCGACGCTAGGTACTCTTTCAGCTCCTCAAATGCCCTCCGGCATTCTTCGTCCCATGCAAATGCGTTGGCCTTCTTCAAAACTTTGAAGAAGGGCAGGGATCTCTCAGCTGACCGGGAAAGGAACCGGCTAAGGGCCGCTAGGCGACCGGTCAACTTTTGAACATCCCTAACGGAGGTAGGGGCTTGCATTTCAGTGATGGCCCGGATTTTTTCTGGGTTGGGCTCTATTCCTCTCTTGGTCACCATGAAGACGCATTTCTTAGGATTCAGCCGGAGGTTGTACCTTGCCATGATATCGAACGTGGCCCGCATATCAGACGGGTGGTTTAGAGATACCTGGCTTTTGATCAGCATGTCGTCGACGTATGCCTCCATGGTCTTTCCCAGCAGTGGCTTGAAGAGTTTGTTCACCATGCGCTGGTAGGTTGCCCCCGAGTTCTTCAAGCCAAACGCCATTACCCGGTAGCAGTAGGTTCCTTCGGGCGTGAGGAATGACGTCTTCTCTTCATCTTCCTTGGCCATGTAGATTTGGTGATAACCCTTGAAGGCGTCCATGAAACTTAGGAGTTCACACCCCGCAGTTTCGTCCACCATTTGATCTGGACTAGGAAGGGGGTATGAATCCATCGGACAAGCCTTGTTCAAGTCCGTATAATCCACACACATTCTCCACGTGTCGCCCTTGGGAGCAAGGACAACGTTGGCCAGCCAATCTGGGTACTTGACTTCCCGGATGTGACGTACCGGTCGACTTCCTTCCCTCACGGCCAACCGGTGGCAGATAACAGAGCGATCTATTCCGGGCATATCCGCCACGCTCCATGCGAATATGACGCTCCATGCGAATATGCCCGCGTATTCTTGGAGGACCCGTGTAATCTCTACCTTGAGATCCTCGGGGAGATTTGCTCCAATTCTGACCATCCTCGAAGAATCACCCGGGTGAAGTTCGATTTCCACCGTCCCGGCCTCGAGCTCCAATTTCTCCCGGGTCTCTCCCTTTGTGATCTCTTGGGAGATGACATTGACCCCCTTGGTCATCTTCTTAACTGCCCGGGCATAGCATTCCCGGGCATTCCTCTGATCGCCTTTCACTTCACCCACACCACCTGGAGTGTGGAACTTCATGCACAGGTGGGGCATGGAAATCACCGCCCCGACCTTATTAATGCCTGGCCTTCCAAGAATTGCGTTGTGGACGCATTTGATGTCCAAAACTATGAACCGCATCTTTTTCCATATGGTTTTTTCACCCGATCCTAGTTCGACCGGTAGAACTATGGATCCTTCGGCTTCTACCGTATCTCCCGTGAGGCCTGAGAGAGGGGTTTTGAGGGGTTCAAGTTGTGTCCGACACAACCTGAGTTCTTGGAAAGTCTCCAGGTATAAGATGTTGACACTGCTGCCGGTGTCAACAAGTACCCGGGCGACATCCACCCCATTAATGTCCATGGTGATGACCAATGGATCATTGTGATCTTCACCGGTAGGAGGGAGATCCCGGTCAGTAAAGACGATCGGCTCCCTCCTAGTATGTTTACGCCTGGGCGGTTCAGCACTTACCTCTCCAACGTAAATGCTCCGAACCCAGTTCTTCCGCTGCGCGGCTGAATCTCCACCCTTAGGTCCGCCGAAGATCATGCCGATGTGCTCTTTTTCGGGAGCAGGTTGCCGCTCCCTTGGCCGGTTATTCCTCCGCCGGTCGTTGTCCCAGTCATCTCCCGGGGCAGTTGGCCTAACCCATTGATGACTCTTCTCTTGGGCTTTCTGCAAGTAATCCTTGCCCAGCTCTCCACTGTCTATCATCTGCCGGATTACTCCCTTAACACTCTTACATTCGGAGGTGTTATGGGAATCTGACCTGTGTTACGAACAATAGGTGCCCGACCACTGCCGCCCTACTTGACCGGTAGGGTTTTCTGGAGGAATGACCGGTGCTTTCCGGATTTCTTGGCATTCTTCCGTATTGACCACTCGGATGACCGGGTCATAGTGGTGCCTCGGCCGGCTAAGTCCCGGTGCTTCTTCCTTCTTGACTTGCACCGGCTTGGGCTTGTGACCATGCTCAGCTTCTCTCTTTGCCCGGAGCTGGGTTTCAGCTTCAGCAAACTCCCATGCAGTGTGGTAGGCCTCTTGGTACGTGGTTGGGGGTTTCCGGCAGAACTCCTTGTATAGTTCCCCAGCACGCAAGCCATTCAAGATGAGGGATAGGACGGTCTTGTCATCCATCTCTTCCACCTTGTCTACCTCTTCCTTCCACCGGGTAAGGAACTGAGTAAGGTTCTCAAACTCCCTCTGCCCGGCTGTACTAAGATAGGTGAATTTCTTCCTCTTAGTACAATTCTCCTGGAACTTGGCCTTGAATTTTGAGGCCAAATCACTGAATGAATCAATGCTTCCCGGGCGAAGCTTATTGAACCATTCAGTGGCTCGGTTCCGCAAGGTCTGGAAGAAAAGAAGGCACTTTTCTTCATCGGTGCAACCGTTCATGGTCGCACTCTGGTTGAAGGAATCCAGATGGATTTCCGGATCTTCCTTCCCGGTGAATCTGGGGGCGTCGATCTTGACCTTTCGCGGGAAAGGTGTCAAATGGACCCTTGTGGTGAACGGGGACCCTGCCAGGGGTTTGTCCCGGTCATTCTTCTCTCCGACCTTCTTTTCCAGCCTTTCCAATTTTGCCTCCATCTGCTGGACGCGGTCATTTGGGATGGTCAACCGGTTCGCCACCGGTAACCTGGGCTGGCTCTCTGCTTCCTCTTCTTGACGAGAGGCCCTCGTCCTCGCTGGCTCCTGCCGGTTAGACCGGGAGCGCCGGGTGCGGGCAGGCTCGGCCTCCCGCACCTCGCCTAGCCGGGCGAACGCGCTGACATGGACAACGCTCTGCCCCAGCCTTTGCTTGGCTGACTTCGTCTGGCCTTCCTCCCTATCCCCCAGCCTTTCGAAGGCGGAGTTTCGGGAGGTCGCTGGCCAGATGTTTTTTCCTTTCTTCTTCTTGTGGGCCCTTGGAACGTCCCACTCGCCATCATCACTCTCAATTGAGACGCAATGACCATCAGGGGTGACTTGCGGATTCGTACCTTACGGGAGACGCGACGGCCCTGCAGCGTTAAGTGCGCCGGCCAAGTTGACAGGGGCCATGGTGCTGACCAGCTTGTAGGGGCATGGTTCCCGCGCCTGGAAGAGCGAACGGGAACATACCAGGGAGGAAAGGCATCCCCCCATTCTGCTGGCACATGGCCATGACCTGACCGAAGCCCTGAATGGCTTGTAGGTTGGCTGGGTCATTCATGAACTGAGTCATGCTTGGTGGGAACGTGACCCTTGGTCCAGCGGAAGGGACGGGGGCCGCAAAGGGACTGATCACGCTGGTCATCGGGACAGAGCTCAGACCAAAAGGCAACACCGGGGCTGAAATGACCGGTATGGTAGCAGCCACAGGGATGTTGGTACCCTCATTGGTGGCTTGCACCTGAGCGGAAGTAGCGTTGATCTGTTGGCTGGAAGACATTTTGAGTGGTGTTTTCGTGGGTAGGTTTTAGAAGAGAAGAAACCTTAACCGGTCCCACGGATGGCGCCAAAAATGATGGTGTAAATTACTTGACCGGTCAAACTACAATAGACCGGGTCTAGAATAGTTTGCTTGATTTGGTAGAATAAGAAAGATAAACTCGCAGATTGACCGGTAGGACTTTAGGTGGAACACCTGTAGCCTAGTTTGTATTATCACGGAGAATGCACGAGTGCTTTTACAAGAGAGTTTAGAGAGAATGAATTCCCCTCCCTCTTTCTGAGGTTTACATGAGTATTTATACTAGGCTAAGGGGGACATGACCATGTGCGCCCACGTGGGGGCACGATGCTGATGTGGTGCGAGGTGACTGGTTTCGTCCTTGAGCTGCCTTGTCGCCTTGTGAGGGGGATTATTCCCTTTGTCGAGTAGTGCCTTGGATGGATTCTTCAGCATCTCCAGTTGTCCTCTACTGACACGGGTCGCTACACGCCAAGCCCTCGTAGATTCTCTTCTGCCGACACTTTCCAACCCTAGAAACTTCACCGGGTAATCTCCGAGGAACGCGTTCATCAAAGTCTGGGAATAAATGAGATGACAATCCAGTTTGACCGGTATACTTTTTCGTGAAGTATACCGGTCATCTTTTGGCCGATTACAAATCGTTTTGCTGACGATTTAAGTCTCCCTTCCAAAACTTTCGAGATTGACCGGTCAACTAATTGGTCTTCTCCTTTGACCGGTCGTGGGTGGAATACACCCATCAGGGCTAATGAGAATATCTATGAGGGACGGAGGGAGTATTACTTATTTTTACTAAAATTAGATAAGATTTGAAACACTTTTAAATACAATTAGAATATACTCCCTCAGTCCCTAAATAAACTTCTCCTTTCATTTTTTCTTTGTCCCCAAATAAACTTCTCTTTTCCCTTAAAAAACCCCTTTTACCCCTTACTTTTTCATACCCTACCTATCACATCATACCTTTTTACTAATAATCTACATATCATATCTTACTTTTATACATCACATCAAGAGTATTTTTGGAAAGTCAACACAAAAATATTCCTACCTTAAATTCTTAAAAAATCAAAAAAGAAAGTTTATTTAGGAACGTATGGAGTACTAGATTAAAATAGAACATATTCCAATTAGGTTAAGCGAACAAGCCCATAGTATGAGTGTACGTACTATAATTAAGACGTGTTTAAAAATGAATATTATATTCCTTTGCAGTACTCCATTTATGACCCATTGTGGCATAGTAAAGCTCATTTCAGTCATTTGTGGTCTGGTCCAAATAACTCAACTAGTGTATATTTCATTTATGACCACTAACTTAGTACACCTATCCGTCCTAAAATGTTCTTTTCAGTTACTTCCTTCATCCCTAAATATTTGTAACACTTGTATTCTCGAGGTAAAATATTAAGTTTTTTTAATTTATTTTATTTACATATTGGTATAGAAATAAAAAATAAAATTTACATATCAAAAAACTACATGAAAAATTCTTCGAAATAATAGGTGTCAAGAATATTTTATTTTATCAAATAACCATTGAAAATGTAGAAATAAACAAAAGTTCCCGCGACTGCTGAAAAAGCAAACGTTGCAAATAATTCGGGACAGAGGGAGTATTAATAATTATTCACATGATTAAATTTTAATCACTTTTTATTACTTATTTGATAAAATAATATAGTATTGAACATCTTGTTTTCTTGAACTTTTGATGTAGTTTTTAAATATATAAATTTTATTTTTAAAATTTGCATCTACAATCAAATAAATTTAATTCAAAATAAAATCAGTCAAATCTCATAAATAAAAATGGAAAAAATATTTTAAGATAAAGGGAGTAATAATCTAAAGGAGTCTAGCTACCCATGTTACTACTTTTAAAGAAGTGCATGCTTGGTGCAGAAATTTAGAGTAGTTGACCTGGATGACTATTTTAAACATCAAACAGATCATGAGCATAAGGCTCCGTTTGGCAGCATTATATTGTTTCTCTATATCACATATTGAACTTGTTTTACACTCTTCTATATAAAGAAAATTAGTGGCTACTTTTCGTAACATGCAAAAAGAGAAAGTGGAGGGAGTAACATGTTTTAAAGTTACAAATAATAAGAATTTTGAACCTACTTATTTATTTGGTTGAAATATGAGTGTTTGGGAAAGAGCTATTTGTGAAAAAAATGGTTTTTTTGGAGCTAAAGACTTCATTTAACGTTAGCGTTTTCGATATTTTTTAAAATTAACTTGAAAACAACTTGATTAAAGACTATTGCTGGATATCATTGACAACCATAGATTTTTACAAAAAAGATTGTTTTACAAAAAAAAATTGCTATAAGGATTTGGTAGCCCTAACTTTTACTTGGATTAGAGAAAGCTTGTTTTTTTTTCAAGCTTTTGAGCAGCTTCTTTTGAAAATTAGCTTTTTTAATATGGACTTTTGAATATTACCCTATTTGGACAAAAGAACAAAAGTGTGTTTGGAAGCTCAAAAGAACTGGCATACAATTCCAAGTGTTTGGGGTACACCTTTTTTGAAAATGCATTCCAACTTAACACAAACCTTCCAAATCAAAGCCAGCATCTGATCTATTTACACAAACAGTTTTGGTTTAAAGAAAATGCAGCAGACTCACAAACAAAGATATTCATATTATTCTTCTTGTGACAGATCTAAACCATATTGATTCATATATATATATATATATATATATATATATATGGTACATACCTGGAAAATGGTGAGTGGGAAAGAAGAAATGTGGCCAGAAGTATCAACAAAAGGGATGAAGTTTGTTGAGAGGTCCAGAGAAGGGACAAAATCCCCAAAGTCATCAAGAGAAGCATCAGTTTCAGCATCAACAAAGAGAGCCCCTTCTCCATTGCAGTCAATCTCCAGCCTCCCCTGTTCGTCCCTGCCCAGCCTCCCTGCCATGGGGTAAAACCAGACCAGAGCCCTGCCCAGAGCCTCCTTCATCGCCCCGGGCTCGAAGAAGTCCGGGCACCCGTTGGCCGGCCACCTGTAGAAGTACACTGTCAGCAGGTGGATCCTCCCCACAATCAGGTCCAGGTTCGAGCTCCACAGCCTCTTTGACGGCGTGGGCTTCGCCGGCTTCACCGTCGTCCTCTCCTTTATCCTGATCTCCACCTTCTCATCGCCGGCCGCCATTTCTTTCTTTCTTTTTGGAGGTTCAAGAAGATCAAGATTCTCAAGAATTGCGGCAAAAAGATGCAGTCTTTGAAGATATGGGAGAGAGAATTGGGATTTGGGATGAGAGTTATTACTCCATTTGATATTGGATATCACTTTTGCCTGCAAGAAGAGATAGCTAAGCGAGGAGAGAGTAATAAATATGCGGTTATACGTCCTGTTTGGTATTATTTGTAGAATATGGAGGTTTGAATATTAAGAATTTTCGTAAATATGAATAATAATAATGATTTTCTCAATATATGATCATATATTTTTAAAAATATTTGTACTAAATAGTACTGAAACTTGAGTTATTTTTCTAAATATCGCATAAATTGTTTTATTTTCTAAATAACACTTAATAATGTCCATAGTATCCAGTGATAACGAATATTTACTTGAATAATGACTAAAAATGCTACATTGGGAAAAAACACATATGTTTCTATTGAGAGAAAGTCATTATATTTTAGTGATATTTAAGTGAATTCTTCATATTTTTAGTTCTCAATGTAAGACCATTTGTCATTATCTATTAGTCATTATTCAAGTGAATGTCTACTATTAGTGGAAAGTATTTCTCCAACTTGACATTATTAAGTACTATTTAAGGAATAAAAAAAATTTAAGTCACTTATATCTTAGACTTTAGTGCAAATTTCACTTTGAATAGTTACGAATGGCCACACTACCTATTGAAGAAATTAAATTTGAGGAAATCTTTTCCTTTCACATTGTGTGAAAATACTCCCTCCCTTTACATTCTTCCCAATGAAAAAATATCACATCAACAAAGCTAGGAATTATTCCAACCTTTCCAGATCATCTTTCCTTCCGTCCCAAAAAGATTGTAACATTACGCTAAGCAAAAACTTTTGAGTTTTTCAATTTATTTTATCTAAAGATTGATATAGAAATAAAAATAAAATTTACATATTTAAAAAATTACATTAAAAGTTTCTATAAAATAATAAGTGACAAAAATATTTTATTTTATTAAATAATCAATGAAAATAGAAAAAATAAACAAAAGTTTCCATAATTTTGAATATTGAAATATGACTATCTCTTTGGGACCGAAAGAGTATAAAACATTGCCTACGAATGACAATTGTTGATGCCACGCATATGTAGTTATTATCCATGTGTATTAGTGTCTTACTAGAAATATGCATGGTGTCAAAGTGGTCTCAAAAGGTTAGAGTCCCCCCTGGCACAACTAAATATCACATACTCTGTAGTTTTGAGCCATTGCAAAATGATGATGATGATGATGATGATGATGATGATGATGATGATAATAATAGCTTCACACGATACAATCATTAAAATAGAATGAGTGAAATAGTAGTGATACGGAATAGTAGAAAAGGGGTGCGAGTTGATAAAATTGTCTATTCGAGTATTCGTAACAAATCATTCCACTTAAAACAAAAAAAAAAGATGATATTCATCCCCGAAAGTCCTCTCAGACCTCGCCGAACGGTTACTGAGATGAGCTAAATTAAACTTTAATCACAGATTGGTGACAAAGAGTAGAACATACCCGGCTGCACCCAGTACTTGTAGAAACCATATGCTTAGCGTAGTTGCCTTTCAGTGCAGTTGTCAGGAATCGAATTCGGGTCTTACCCTCTTAGCACCCATTGGCTTGCCAAGTGCGCAACGCCCACTGAACCAACCAAACCAAAAAAGTTACAGATTTTACTTGAGACATGTACCCAAGTTAGTTGTTTAAAAATTAAAATGCTTTAAATGACTCGATTGAGATACAAGAAAGAGCCAGTCAAACCACATCCTAGGAGGTGACTGTTCATGTAGCCATGGGTACGGGACCAAAGGTTTGTCGTGGTCCTAATATTGTTTTTAGTAACGGGGCAAAAGAAAGAGTGTCAAGGGGGTAAGACCTGAGTTTGTTTTCTGGTAACTGCGTTGTGAGGCAATTATGCTAAGTATAGAACTTCTGCAAGTATCGAGTGAATCCGTTCAGGCAACGACGGATGTACTTTATATTAGTTGGGGGTTGATGCCCCCTACTCCATTTATTTTTTAAGGTAAAAATATATTTTAAAAATTTTTATGTATATGTGCCCCAACAAAAAACTAATGAGACCCCATCAAGTTAAGTTAATCTTAAAATTTATGTTTAGTATTTGTAGTAAAATGTATTTTATTAATTATAATTAATTATTTTTAAAATAAGATTTCACATTGCTATTGAAAAAGTTTCACATTTAGTAATTGTTTGATATAAAATTTATTCTTTTTTATCATTTCATATTATTTATTAAATAAAAAAATGGGAGCAGCCCCCCGGACCCCGACTAATGATGCCCCCATTTAGGTAAAATCCCAGATCTGCCATTGCGTGCAAGCTCCACTTTTTACTACCAATCTGCGATTAAAGTTTAATTTATCTTTTCTCAGTGACCGTCTGATACTTTGTGATCCATCATAAATCAAGCTAGAGAGTATAATTGTCGCCTTTGCATGAGGGACAAAGTGATAATATATTATTGTTGGACACAATGAATAAGGTACAAATATTAAGAGCACTGGAAATGGGCTTCACACCCGCCGGCGTGAACGGGCGTTTAACGCCCCGGGGGCGTGAAACACCGCCCCCTTCGGGGGTGATCGGGCGCGAGTTCACCAGCATCAAAAGTTTGACGTGGCTTGGCTGCGTTTTTTAGCCGGCTCCCCCCTTCCCAACGGCTATATAGCCCTTACCCCCCCCCCCCCCTAAATTAAAAAAAAATCTAAATTTAAAAAAAAACCTATAAAATCCCCCTATCTCATACATCTTTCTCACACCTCTCTCTCACAACTCTCTCTTTATTAATATATATTCTCTCAAAAATATTTATTATTTATTATAAATATTTATAAAATATAATTTAAAAATGGGTTCATCTTCCGACGATGAAAGAAGAGCTTTATTTTTTCGTTGTTTCGCGACGAATTGTATTCAATGGTGGGAGGATGACCAAGAAGAAGCCGAATCCTCCCGACGACGGACCCGACGCCAACGTCTAAACCGGGATCGAGCGGCCGCCCATGATTCACTTCTAAACGACTACTTTAATAATCCGTGTGTTTATACACCAGAGGATTTTAGTAATCGTTTTCGGATGAGTCGTCCTCTCTTCTTACGCATACTCACTGATGTTGAACGCGAGGTTCCTTGGTTCAACCAACGGTTTGATGCGAGAGGCCGACGCGGGTTTAGTAGCGTCCAAAAGTGCACTACCGCGCTCCGTCAGTTGGCATACGGGACGGCATCCGATATGTTC